ATCACTGAAGAAAATGAATGACTTACAGCATTCTGAACATATTATGATCTCTTTGAATAAATAGTTACACTCTTTGAACTGACTAATGCTCTCAGTATATTTCAGAAGTATATCAACTGAGCACTCTGAGATTTTCTTGATAAGTTTGCATCTGCTTATCTAGATGACATTCTCATCTTCACTGATGAATTCAGAAAAGAATATCAAGAATATGTACAAAGAGTATTATAACAACTACAAGAAGCAGAACTATTAATTAATATTGATAAGTGTGATTTCAAAGTTAAGAGTACTAAATACTTAGATTTCATCATAGAAGCTGGTAAGAGAATTCAAATGAATTCTGAGAAGATCTCTGTCATTCTCAAATGAGAAGCTTCATATACTGTGAAAGATGTATAAAGCTTCATTGAATTCACTAACTTCTATCAGTGATTTATATAAAACTTCTCAGATATTGTAAGATCACTTACAGATCTCACTAAGAAGAACTCAGTATTTCAATAATCAGCAGACACTGAAGCTGCATTTACACAGATGAAGAAGATATTCATTAATATCTCTCTGCTGATAATATTCAATCCTGATCATGAGACAGTTGTTGAGGCTGATTTCTCTGACTATGTAACAGAAGAAGTAATATTATAATATGATGATGAAGATGTTCTACAATTATATGTCTTCATATCTAAGAAACTGAGTTCTGCTGAATATAATTCTGAGATCTATGATAAGAAACTCCTTGCAATCATACACTATTTAGAAGAATGAAACTCTGAACTTCAAAGTGTCTCTGAATTTGAGATAATCACAGATCATAAGAATCTCAAATACTTCATAACTACTTATAAACTTATCAAACAACAGATGTGATGATCTGAGTTCTTAAGTCACTTTCATTTTACAATACACAATCATTCTGGCAGTCAGAACTCAATGACAGATGTTCTCTTATAACAAGAGCAAGATATATTATCTGATGTAACAGATACTCACTGAATGAATCAAGAGAATCAGCTCTTGAATCTGAAGATACTAGTTAATTAAGATGAAACAGTTCATGACACTATACATGCTTCTTCAGTTAGAACTGTTATTGATATCTTCACTTTCTCTACACTGAATGAACTGTGATATACAGCAGCTCAGACAGATGAACTTCTTCAGACTTTTATCAAAGCAGTATATCAAGAAGCACTCTGATTTTTCTCAGAACTATATATAAGAACTGATATCTCAGAATATTCAATCAATGATAATAATACTCTACAATTCTGTGAATAATGCTGAGTCTCTCACTCTGAATTCTTATACACTTGAATAAAACAAGAGATACATGATTCACATATAACTGATTATTCAGACTGTGAATAACTGTATAGAATGATCTCTCAAGAGTTCTACTGATCTGAGATATTAAACAGCATCAGACACTTCATCTGAAACTGCAATCACTGTTCTTTTATTATCTCATGAAAGAACTGTAGAAAAGATCTATTAAAATCACTCAATATCTCTGATAGAATCTGATAAGATATAGTAATTGACTTCACTATTAATCTATCTAAGAGTAAGAGTTGTAGAAACATTCTGATCATCATGAATCAACTGAGCAAAGATATAATATTGAAATCTTATAATAAGATGAATACTAAACAAGTCACTGAAGCTTTTCTACAGAGCTCATTCTATCAGATATATAAATTGCTGAGATCTATAGTATCAGATTAGAGCTGTCAATTCATGAGCACTCTCTGAATAAGAATCTGTCAAGTTCTCAAGATTATACACTATCTATCAACTGTTCATCACTCTGAGATCAATGATACATCAGAACAGATAATTCAGACTGTGAAGAATTATCTCTGTAAGTTCTGTAATCACTTATAAGATGATTAATATAATCTTCTTCTACACACAGAGATTACTATCAACAGTTAAGATGCTATTTTAATAGATGTAAGTCTGTTCTTTCTTACATACAGATATCACATGAAAGTGTTGAATCTTCTAGAGATTTCACAGTTTATATCAGACTTTCACAGTTCAATTCAGATTGTCAACAATATAGTAACAAAGCTTCTGAGATGCTTATAATTGAGCAGAGGTCTTCATGATAACTATGAAACAAGATCAAGAGAATCAAATCAATGTTCATCAAGACTCTGCTCAATAATATAAGATAGAAGATCTGATATGATTGAATCTTAAGAATATACAAATTACATATTCATCTCATATGCTAGATTACTGCCATGTCAAGTATAAAGTGATAGAAGTTCTAGATAGTCACAACTACTGTCTTGACACATCATCAGAGATTTATAATATATTTCATACAAGCTTGCTCTGCTGCACTGTCACTGATCTGTTTTCTTCTCAACTGACTTCTGACTGATAGTCACCAGGCATCATAGAAGAAGATAATGAGCTTGAGTGAGAGATTGAGAATATTCTTGATAAGAGACTCTGTAGCCACAGCTGACAATATCTAATGAAATGAGTTAGCTATGATCAATCAACCTGAACTCTGAGTTCTGTGTTATCTGCAACAGCAGTTCTTGACCAATAGAAACTGCTTCTGAAAGAGAGAGACTAATGTGGCGGGCTGCACCTGATCAATCATATAGACTATTTCATTACACTTCATAGATTCTTTCATTTCACTATTAAATACATACACTCTGATTCTCAGCCATTCTCAATCATCAATTCTCAGTTATCATGAACATGTATAGATTCTTCCGCCCTGAAGCTTCACTGCATACATCATCATATATGTGTATAAATATTCACTCTGATTGCTGATTTCTACACTTTCTCTTTCTTTTCCTTCTTTAATGTTTTTCTCTTTGTTAAATAAGACCTATCAATATAATACCGATCTATTCGGCGTAGGCCTCTTACATATAGTATTCAGTGACTAGATTCAGCAGCTTTCATCTTTTATAATTCTATCTTATGTATTATACTATCTCTCTTTGCTCACTCAGATCACTACAGTGAACAGTTCATCAAAACTAATCTCACTCAATCTCTGAGTATTCTCAGAGATCAAGATAACTTAGTCTTATATATCTGTGAATATTTCAGATGATTTGTTCTCTGTGATCTCTGCAATTAAACTGATATAAACAGTTGAATTCCACTCTGAATCTCTTTTTCTTCTGCAATCTGACTCATATACAAGTAGACTGACCGTGTGACCGTGTCTGAGACCAGGACCAAACTTTACAGTTGTCACATTGCCTAAAAGCATTACTCCTGGTTATGGTTTGTGTTCATCACATTGATTTCAAATCCCGTTATTTCAAATATTAAAGATCTCAGATTCACTTTTCAAATAAAAATCTAGTCTCAGATAAAGAATATGTTTGAATTCTTAGTTACATTTTCATTCTGATCTCATTATTGAAAATGACATCAAATAAGACTATGAAATCATTTCTCACTTACATAATATCATAACATAGTGCTCATTTGTTGAAAATTTAATAGAGAGTATTATCAAATATCATTACTTTTCTGAATACAGATCATAATCAATATCATTTTAATTAAAAAAAAAAATGTAAAATACAAAAAATAATAAAAAAACAAAAAATAAAATAACAAGAAAAAATCACAACAAAAAAAAAAAAAAAAAAGAGAAAGAAAAAAAGAAGAGAAAGAAAAAAAGAGATAGAAAGAGAAAGAAAAATAAAAAAAAAAAAGAAAAGAAAAAGAAAAAAACAAAAAATAAAAATAAAAAAAAATCAAGATTGCAGGGCTGCAGTATTCTCAAAATACTCACTTCTCAGAGTCTTTGTAATGTTTATCATTAATCATGTATTTCTCACAGTGAGAGTAATATAGCTGTGATGAGTCATTGTCTTAATATCATCTAATAAATAATCAGTATATATCTATATAAATGTGAATAATTAGAAAATATACATTTAAAAAGTGTGGTCAGAGTGAACTCTGCTGCCACTTGAATGACATCAAGAGCAGAATGCTGGAATTAATGATTCTCCTCATCAATTTCACAGACAAGATGTGTGAAGATGATCTTGAGAAATATAAGATTCTCTGACTTCTGGTAGAAACAGATCTCATGAAGAGACTCTATTTTCATCATATCAGAGACTGAGTGTTACTAAAAAGTGTTACTTCAATACACATGCACTTACTGCAGTGATTCACTCTCTGTGCATGTGACTGAGAGTTACAGCTTTCTCACACTGCACAGCTCTCTCTGAGATGCTGCTGCTGGTTTGTAACTCACACAGTCTCTCAGTTCAGCACACACTGCACATATACAGTCCTGTGTACTGAGGCTGTGTTGATCATTATGTTCTGGTGTGATACTCACTTTTCACAGGCCATGTTTTATTTGATTGAGAGGAGAGGGAACATAACTGCTGTTTTATTTGAGAGGGAATGAATAATTGAATCTGTAGAAGATAATTTAATTTCTTCTGTATTTGAAATTTGATTAGTTTATACTCTTCAATTTGAGAGTTTCTGAGAGTGTTTTAATAGTTTTCATATCAGCTTGGAATTAGTGATTGATTGAAGAAGAGAAAAGAGAGAAGAAAGAAATGAGAACAACTTATCTTTATAATATGAAAACAGAGAATTGCTGTAATCATTTATTCTAGCAATAAAGATCTGTTTTCTGCATGTATCTCTGATACAGATTATATGATAACTGTATACAAAGAATATCAACAGTGCATGCATTGAATGAAGATGATATTGCTATGCAATACTGTAACTGTTTCTGTACATTGCTGAAAGCTGTTAATATTTTCTTTAAGTCTCTTTATATTTGATAAGTCAGTAATATATTTCAATGCACTTTTCCTTTCATCATCATCATCATCATCATTATTATTATCATCATTATTATCATCATCATCATTATCATCATCATCATCATCATTATCATCATTATTATATTATTTCTGACTGTCTCTCCTGCCTTCACTCTTCTTTAATACTCACTGAAACTAATCATGTTATTCTTCTTCAAATATTCTGCGGTCCTGCGGATTATCAAGGCGTGTGAACACTGTCACAGATTGAAGAGAGAGAAGAAGAAGGTATTTAAGTGAGAAGAGACAGATCACAAGACATATTATAATGTCTTGAAGAGACTTTATAAAAGAGTAGAATGATAACAATTTTAAGTAATACTTCTAATAGATTTAGACTGAACTAAGTATAGAAATAATGCAGATGACACTGCTTATGAGAGATTGAAGAAGAAGATAGTGAAGAGTCTTATACAGTAGTAATAAGATCAGAAGAAGTTCTGAGAATGATTTAAGATCAAGATGAAGAGAGAGAGAGAGAAGAAGAGTATTGCTGTAAATAAGCAGCAGTAGAAGAAGATTAAGAAGATATTAAAGCAGGAGATAAAGAAGTCAAAACTGATAAGTTTTTTATTTATTAAGAGATAATAATTTTTGATAATACTTCTATTCTCTAATTGATTAGCAGAAGCTGATAGAGAAGAAGGGAATTAAGACCTTGTTCAGATCTCAAATGCACTTCATGATTCAGAACCTTGAGAAGACAGCCCTGCTCTCTGAGCATATCAATCTGCTTGCTGCTGAGGTGGAACCTGAGGCAGCAGACCAGAAAATGCGGGATTTTGAGGTACAGGTTGATCTGGCTAGAGAGAAGCAGTGAGAACCCTTCTCTGAGAAGGCAGTGAAGAGAGATTTTGAGGTGATTATCACCTCAGATGAGGAGAAGAAGAAGAAGAAGAAGAATAAGAAGTGAATTGTAAAGAATGATAAGAAGAATGAGAAAGAGAAGAAGTAGATTTTTTTCTTTTTATATTAATTAGTTATAAGTTTAAGTTTTTAATTATTAATAATTAAAATTGATTTTAAGTTTTCAAAAATTATTGTACAAGTTGTAATCAAGTCAGGAATGATATATATATATATATATATTTAACTATCATGATTCATAAATCACTATAATGTATAAGTATCAATATTTTTTCAACATTAATATTCACAATATTAATATATTTTTAATGATATTATCTGATAATGTAATTTGATAATGCTCTCTTTCATAATATTAATATATTTCAAGAAATATGACAGAGATTAATCAAGATTGTTTATTTACTTTTATACATCAATGATATTCAATCTGAGTTAGTACTAAAATTATAACTAAGTTAAGAAACAAGATTACTTTCTCTTATATTAATTCTTCTTACACACATCAGTGATTAGTTATTGAAAATAAATTATCATCTTTTTCAAATTATTATCATGTCTTCTGAATTCACTTCTTTCACTTCTTTTACTTCTATTAAAGATTCATAAACTCTTTAAGAAATCACTGTGAATTACAGAGTCTACATTATTTACAATTCAACACAGAATGCTCTCTTTCAATTATAATAAATGATCACTTCATTCTTCACATCTGATTTCAGGTCATGAAATTTATGAAAAACTCAATACAAATATTGAGATGAACTATGAAATAATTATTAACAGATTATATTGTAGATTACTGAAAAGTCATCTCTCTGCTACAATCACTGTAACTCTATTCAGAAACATTCATCATGAACTGATCATAACTCTGAAGAAATTTCCTGATATCTGAAGTCATCAGAATGCAGATAATAAAAGAAAAATAATCAGAAAATTACTACTGAGCTGGTAAGTTACTCTATCAGATAATGATTTTTAGTAATACTAACTTTCTAATTTGAAGAAAATCATGTAAAAATGATCATATATCAGTACTCTGATTTCATAACTCTTATCTGATAACTTCTGTGAACAATTACTTTGCATGTGTATATCTCTGAATCTTTCTCTTCAATCAATTAAAAACTCTGAATTCTGAACACTTCTTCAAATACTTAATTCAAATCTTTATATTCCACATTGATTCTGTCTTTGATTCAATCTCAAGATACACTACAAAGTCAATATGTAACATCTAGAATCAGAGTTGAAGAATCATTGAAGAGTGTCTCTTACAGTGAATGCATGAACTAGTACAAATAATCTTACATTTATAAGAGTTACATGTTATTACATTGATGAGAACTGAATTTATTAAGAGATATTAATTGAATTTGAATCATTGATCAGTAGTCATACTGAGGATTATATAGCAGAGATATTAATAACTGTGATTAAAAATGACTATTAAGATATTAGTCTCAGTCTTCTTACAATTATAACTGATAATGCTGTGAATAACTACACTATGATGAAGAGCTTAGAGCAAAAATTGGCTTTGCATTTCTGAAATGATAAATAAGGTCATATTCTCTGCATTGCTCATGTGGTTCAACTTGTGATATAAACACTGATAAAGAATCTTAACATTGAGATGAAGAATAATGAGATAACTGATTCTTGAGATAAGAATGAGATGAAAGTGATTACTCAAGTAACTTTTACATTCACTTTACAAAAGATAATGTTTTTTGACAATACTTTTTGATATTGCTTTTTAATAACACTTTTTGATAATACTACTATTAATTTTGAATAGATTGACTAATAATTTAAATATCACAGATTTGAAACATTGTTAATGTGATTTGTATCTTCTCTAAATAATAATAATAATTTCATGATATTCAATAAACAAACAAATCAGTCACATCACTGAATATGATACAGAATGTTAGAATATGATGAAGTTCAATATATAAGATGACTGTTCAGACTCTTTGATTGCATCAGATAATTGATTATTGAGTGCAACACTCTGATTAGAAAAAGATTCAGATATTGAAACTTTCTGATATAAAGTAGACTCAGTTGAAATATATGATTGATTTACTGTTTCAGTTTTATAAGATAATAAAGACAGTCTCAATCACTTGTACATCAATGCTGCAGTCAGTCTGATGAGTGTATAACAGTTTATTTACTTATCTTGAGAAGCAGTTGAATCACTTAAAAAGAAATTCAGTCTGAGATAATGCTATAGTGCAGACTATTATTACTGCAAGGAATAAACTGGCATATTACTACAGCAAAACTGAACAATCTTTTGCAGAGTACTATGCTATAGCAGCTCTACTAGATCTCTCTCATTGAGTTAATATCTACACTTCTCAAGATTGAACAGAGGAGAAATGAGACTTGTATATCAAATTAGTCTGAGACTACTACAATGTCAACTATCAGATATTTAAATGAGCAGATGTTCAAGATGTGAAGACAGTGAAATACAATTTCTTAGTAAGTAATGATCTTTGATAATGCTTCATATCTCATAGAACTATAATACTAACTTTGAAACAGAACTTGCATACATTGATTACAACTGAAAATCAGGCAAAACTACATGCTTGTAAAACTGAATTTGACTGCTATCTTCAAGATGATCTGATGAATTTACATATCAAATCAATTCTAGAGTTATGAAAAATTGTTGAGAGTACATATTCAACTGTTGCACTGATGATATGTGATATTCTGACAATTTCATTGACAGGGGTGAGAATGAAGTGAAAGTTCAACTCAAGTTGAGATATTTATCACTATTATCAGAGACAATTATAAGAAGAAACAATCAAGAAACTCATGATTGTAAAACATGAAATTATCAGATAGTTTAATATCTCTGATCATAGTATATCAGAGAAGTGTAGTTTTCATGAGAAAGTGAAGAATAAACTTACACAAGAATGTATTTAGTTATTTCATGAGTGTTATCAATAATCATTACCAAATTCTGATTATATAAGCAATCATGGAATGAACTGAATGAGACTGATTTTAATCTTCAGTCTCAGTCTCATTCTGATTTTGAAAGAATGATCATCTTTCACAGTTTATTCTGAGAAATTACTCTCATTTCACTGTTCTTGAATTAAATCTGGTCATTTTTCACACCATTTCTCTCAGAAATGGTCCATTTTCAGATTTTTTTGAGGCTTGGTCCTGGTGGGACTCACGCCAAGAAATGTATGAGATCAGACTAAATGAGATCAAATGTGAAATTCATGGTCCCGCCGGCCAGTCTATATACAAGTCTGCTACTTTGAGACTGCTCTTTACTGTGTTACACTCACTATCTATAATATGTTATTGTATGACTGGCTACAGTCTCATCACTTATTAAAATGTGATGTTTATCTGATTTCTTCATTGCTTCTCATTCTTTTCTTATAATCATGAAAAGATCAGAATAAGTGAGATTATCTGATTTGTAAGTATCTATGATTTCTCTTACTTTGTGAGACTTTTCAATTGTAAGTCTCTTCTTTTTCAATGCTGATAATAGTGCTGTGAATAATCATAATTCACTTAAGTCTTACATCTTTGTTTTCACAAGTTGTGAATTATTTATTAAGTTATGTAAGATCTGTCTCTCTGGTTCTTTCAATGTGTATATTCTCAGAGAATGTGATTTGAGTATTTTATATGACTCAAATCATCTAGATTGAAACTTCTCAGAACTCTCATTATGTATGAGACCTCATATTCTTATCTTGAGACTTGATTTCTTAACTAGTGAGTCTTGTATTCTTTTTGATTGAATTCCTCATTTCAGGAGTAACTTATTAGCTTTTATGTATGTGTGGCTGATCTCTTTCAATCTTGGTTCTGCATCTGTGACTATTGTGTCTGCAACTGCTGTTCTCTCCCTCACCTTTTCTGACGCATTCTTCAGAATGCGCGGATGCAATTCATACAACAGGTAGAATGATGAATGCTTAGAGACTGCATGCTGTTAAATCTGTGTGACTAATAGTGCCTGGTCAAGATATTCATCTCATAGTCTCATAGACTTGTTCACTAGATATTTCATTAGCATGTTACTCAAGATTTCATTCAAGTATTTCATCTTTTCATTCATCTGTGAATGATATAATGTTGTTCTATAATATCTTGTCTGTAACTGACTCATGAAATGCCTCACTGCTTCTTCTACAAGGTTCACATCATTATCAGTTAGAATCTTATGTGATATTCCATAGTTAACATAGATCTTATTATATAGAAACTTCATTATAATCTTCTCTATCACCTCTGAAACTGCTTTTATAACTGATCAGTCAGTAGTGTAATTAATAGCAGTGATTATTCATCAATTTTCATTCAATATTCATCACAATATGTCTCTAAGATTCATCTCTCATTATTTGAATAATTGTATCATACAGTTTATCTGATATTGCACTTTCTTATATTCTAATTCTTTCTTAGATTCTTTCATGATCTGGTAATTCAGATACTTGTAAGTATATGTCTGAATGTTCTTGATCATGCTTGATCAGTATACTCTTGATTTAAGTACACTTATAAGTTCAGAGCTTTCTAAGTGACTGAATTCCTTGTGCATGTGAGCTATTAAGTCATGTCTAAATAAATGTTTTAGATAGAAAGCTTCTGCATATTCTAGATTGTAATAAAGCATAACATCATTTTTCAATTTTCTCAGCTTGAAGTTCAGAAGTATCTCTTCTACTACTTTTATAAGATGCTTATTATCTGACATCTTACTGTTCTTTAAGTGAGAGATCATTGTGTTCACTCATTCTGATTTCTTGTATTCTCTTAGTGTATTTAATACAAACTTTTCTTATATCTGATTCACAGAACTCTCACTCATGAAATTGAGTCTGCAACTGATTGCATCAGATATCATAGTGTCTGACTTCTTTCAGTATTTAATATTAAGAT